TTGATTTATTTCTTATATTAGCAGAAAGGATATTATTGGATACTTGGTGATGTTGTTGAAATTGAAAACACCAATGAATGGTGTTATCTTGGTTGCCCCAAGTGCAACCGAAAGGTTGCTCTAGATGCTACGAGGTTCAAGTGTATGAAATACAAAAAAATTATCTGAGGGAGTGTATAGGTTGTTATTTGCATTCAAAATATTTAATACCCCAAAAGAATAATTTTTAAAATTACTAATTCTTAACGTATGATAAATAGATACAAGGTGAGCATTTGTGTTATTGATAATTTCTGAAATGACGATTAACAAGAGCCAAGGACAATCTCTGAAACATGTTGGACTACTGTTACGGAAACCTGTATTTAGTCATGGACAGCTCTATGTTGCAGTTTCAAGAGTAACTAATTGTAGTGGATTGAAGATTCTGATATACAATGAAGACAATACTCCCACAAAGACTACAAACAATGTAGTCTATAAAGAAGTCTTTCGAAATTTGTAAAACATTGATGTTTTGTACTTTCAAATAATATAATCTCTATATTCTATTGCATCTCAGTTTTTATCATTGAAAAATGATCTGAATTTAATAACATAAAAATGATCCGTGCAACGCACGAGGGTGATACTAGTTTGTCATAACATAAACAGTACGGAGTTTTCAATATTGCGGAAGCTTAACAAATCATAATGACAAACATAATTTATTTATGTATCAATTCAAAACCATCACATCCATTCCGACAATCTCGCCTCCGTCTGCCTCCAGGATCACGTCACTTCATTCTTTCTATTTACCTGCGTGTAGCAAATAAAACACACTACACGCTCAGCGGTAAAGCTGAGTAAGCATATCTAATGCGTCGAACATCCACATAAATTGAATCTCAATTCATAATCAACCATTTGATATCATGCACATAATGTTCAGTTTAAATATTCATTATTCAGTGTTCAACATTCAATATTCAACATTCAACATTCATATTCAATATTCAACATTCATATTCAACAATATCCTTAAACTATTTTAGTCTAAGGCCAATTCCATTCTTAAACTAATTTTAGTTCAAGATATTCTAATCCTTAAGCTAGGCCTAGTTTAAGATATATTTTTAAAAAGAGTTTTCAAATCTTAAACTTACCTTCGCTTAAGGTCAACCAAAAACCGACAACGTAGTGTTCACTGTTGGGTTGGGTGGTACCTCCAAACGAGTAGGTACTCAAGTTTGGTTCTTGGATCCCGTACGTACGTTTTAACCCTAGGCACCGGGCATCATACCCGCAAGGCCTAACTTATATATGTATATCTTAGAGTTCTTCTAGATATCTTTCAAATCAACATTAATATGGGTATATCTTAGACAATACTTATTATTTTCACAATCATAAATATATTCATTATGATTTAATCATTCATAATTACCATTTTTTATCAGAACCTTTATCAAGATTTAATCATCATAATCATCAATCATTAATCATTACCATAATCATCAATCAACATAATATTCAATAACAACTAGCGGCCTAGCTTCAGGTGTTAACACCCGAACTTACCGTCATGCATCACATAACATTTTTATTTGTTAAAAACATCATCTTTATTGTGGTAAATCATTTTTATAATGATCATAATCAATTGGTATCAAAAATAGGATTTTAGAGCTCAAAAATAGCATTATCAACAAATTTTTGGATCCGATTTTCGGGGGATCGATCTAGGCAGTGTGATCGATCCAGGCAGTGTGATCGATCCAGGCAGTGTGATCGATCTAGGCAGTGTAGTTTCAGGTCACTGTTCATCTTCTTCAACCTTCGGTCTATTATTCGGAAATACCATTTTTGGTTACCGAACTTCAACGAAACTATATAGAGATGTTCTCCAAGGTTCATAGATCATTTTGGCATGATTAATTCATAGTTTTAACATCAATTTCATGGTTTATGATTCTTGGTTTTTCAAGCATGTCAAACACAAAACTCAACCAAACGACCGTTTATGAACGTAGAAACGATTTATACGAATATTCTAATCATTAGATATATCAACGGGCTTACCTCGAAGCTTAATGGAGGTTTTGACGATATTCCGGCGAAACTTGCGGCGAGGTTTGTGGCTAGAACCACTACACTCCTTACACTCTTAGGAACACTTATGAAGAAGTTTGAAGATGAATGGTGAAAAAATGTGTAGAATGGAGTTTCTTATAGAGCAAGAGGAAGAGATTCAGCACGTTACTCCCTGATTGAAATCCGTTTGCACCATTGCGATCGTGCGATTAAACTCTATCTAAAGATATAATTTTTATATTTATTCGTTATACTTTTTCCGACATCATATTTTTGGGTGGTTGACTTTGACAAAGTCAAAATTGGTTTAATTGACCTTTATTCAAAAAGGTTCTCACATTTAATTCATATTATTTATTTCCATGATTTATTTCAATAAATCATTTCAAAGTTCACATTATAAACAATTTCTTCATTTATTCTTAAATTGAGTCTATACACAGGTTTCCAATCAAGACCACACAAATAGTCAACTAATTGGATTTATCTCTATGAGATTTATCCTGATTGTGATATTGGATATCAAAAAACATTTTATTTCGGCCCAAAGCCCAACACCAATTTTATTTTAATCAAAACAATTTGATTAATTGAATAATTATTCATTAATAATTCTAGGGTATGTTTTAGAGCGTTATAACACGGTTAAACAATAATAATAAATAATTAGGCAAAGAAATTGGTATTAATACAGTTCCTTTTTTAATAATAATAATTCCTTTAATAATAATAATAATAATAATTATGAAAAACTTACCAAACGTGATTATAAAGAAATAATAATAATACTAATGTGATTAATTTCAATTGGAAATGATTAAAAGGGTAAGTAATCTAAATTGGTAATTAATTATTAATCTACTTACCTTTATTGTAAACTTACGTATATTACTTTTATTTTAAACTTACTATTTTTTGGTTAGCAAAACGATAATTGATTATTACCAATTAATAAGGTAAGTATATTGGTTAAAATAAAGGTTAAGAATCCGATAATTAATTATATAACCGTGTGACTACATAAATGTATACTTTGTATTAGTTATCGTGTCATTTTAATTATAGTAATTTTAATTATAGTAATTTTAAATATAATAATTTAAATAATTTAAATACAGTAATAGTAATTGTTAAGTATTTAAAGATGGTAAGAAATTAAAGTGTCCGAAATTATAGTAATATAAAATGGACTATAACTACTGTAAGAATTAAATATCCTTTAAATATATATATTTAGCTTTAATAGCGAGAAAGGTAATAACCATGAAAGGTAATAATTAACTGTGATTTTTAAAGTGTCCGAAATTATACTAGCAAAAAAGGTAATAATCAAAAAAGGTAATAATTGACCACGGTATTAATTATATTACCGTGTGACTACATGATTGTATATTAATTATCGTGTCAAATTAATTATAGTAATTCTAATTATAGTAATTCTAATTATAGTAATTTTATAATGGCTATATTTTAATTATAGTGGCTATATTTTATAATGGCTATATTTTACTATATTTTAATTATAGTAATTTTAATAAAAAAGGTAATAATTAACCAAGGTATTAATTATATAACCGTGTGACTAGATAATTGTATACTCCGTATTAATTACCGCGTCATTTAATTATAGTAATTTTAATTATAGTAATTTTAAATATAATAAATTAAATAATTTAAATATAGTAATAATAATTTAAGGTCGTTATAGCACTTTGAAAAATGAATATTTTTTTAACCCCGTATGCAAAAATCATATTATGAATACATCCATTTACAAAGTTTTCATAGCCATTACATTCATCGTGAATTTTTTCCCATACGTTTCAAAACTGTCATTCCTACGGAAAATGAAGATCTTAACTGCTTTAAAAAATGTTGATAAGAGGTTATCAATATTAATGATGAAGCTACGAGCAGTTAGAGTTTATTCACAGGTTTCCGTAACAATAATGCAACATGTTTTAGTCATAGACAACTCTATGTTGCAGTTTCAAGAGTAACTAATCGTAATGAGTTAAATTGTACAAATAATGTAGTATATAAAGAAGTCTTTTGAAATTTTGTAAAGGAGTGATGTTTTGTACCTTATAATAATATAATCTATATATTCTATTGCATCTCATTTTTTATCATTAAAAAATGATTTGAATTTAATAACATAAAAATGACCCGTGCAGCGCACAGGTGTGATATTAGTATATACTCTCTCCGTCCCCTTGTATTTGTCTACTTTCATTTTTACACACCATCCAATGCACTTCTTTAATTCATTTTATCTTGTAATTTGTATATTAAAAAATTATAAAAATTATATATTAATAATCTATATGTTAAGACAAATCAAACAAGATCACACATGACTATATTTAGGCTTACACATTGAGAGAATTTGATGAGTCAAAGTGCTTAGATGAACAGTTCCAAAAATTAAATGTGGACAAACAGGGTGACTGAGAGAGTATATTATACAATGAGAACTGTGGTCGTGCCAAGAAACAATGTACTTACGTGTTAACTCTCACTTTTTAACGATACTCTTCGAACCCTACCTTCTCTCTCTATCTCTCCCCAAATTCGTTTGGACCCGGGGGAATTCATCTTCCCTTCAATTGATTGAGCCGATCGGCGGTCTGGAAAATGCAGCACCAGAGACTGAAGCAGCAACAAGCCTTGATGCAACAAGCTCTTCTTCAACAACAGTCTCTCTATCATCCCGGTCTCTTAGCTGCTCCTCAGGTTCTATTTCTCTTATTATGGAAAACATTTTATGCCCATGTATGTTGAATTTCTTAATCTGTGCAGTTTCCATACAATTTTATTTTTGGGTGGTATTCATTTTATCAAATTCTGCTTTTTGTCCTGAGTCTAAGGTTTGATTTAGCATCGCTCCCCCATTTTACAACATTCTACGTATGAATATCTGTATTTATGTGTTAATTTTATTAAAACAATATATCTTCTGCATCATGAAAAGCTTTCTCGTGATATTGCAATCAGTTCAGATAAGGAGGGCCCTATATGTGTGCGTTACTTAAGAGGAGCATCAACAATATTCAGGTCTCAATTTGTGCAATGTAAATTGTCCCTGTATTGACAAGGTTTTGAAAGCAGAATACCAGCGGAATCCTTGGGCAGGAGGGGTAAGCCTGGGCTGGAAAGAGACTTAAACCTCATTTCAATTTGAAAAAAATAATACTATGGGTGTGTTTGGTTGGAAGGTAAATATTTTACTAGAAGATTATTTTTGAAGGGAAAATGATTTCCAAGGATAATTTTTTTCCAATCACATTTTCCGGTGTTTGACAGGAAGGAAATTTTTTTCTTAAAAATATTAGTTTCTATTGTTAATATTTGAAAATTAATATTGAAAAAGATGTTTTGGGACAATTTAATACTTTGTAATACTTTACTAACATAGGGGGCGACACAGGGTGGATGGATGCAGGGGCAATTGGATGGGATTCATAGGCAGGTGGCGAGTGATGAGAGACAATTGGTGGGGATAGGGGGCTAGGGTGGGGTGAGGGTGGGATTGTTGGCAGGGGTTGACGGGGCAGGGTGGGTGTGGACGGGGGAGGGTAGGAGGTTGAGGAGTGGGGGTGGCGGGTGGGGTGGATGAGGGTGGTAGTGTATGTGGAGCCGAGGTGGGGGTTGAAAGTTTCACGACCCTCAGTGTACAACCTGTAAAAGTCTACAGGTTGTGACAAAGGATGTTGTAGCACTGATATAAACTAAGTTATCACACAGAGTGCTACACCAACCTCACTATCACTTAAGTAAACAATTAAGAACAGAAAGGAACAATACACAACACACAAATTGTTTACGCAGTTCGGAGCAAATTCTCCTACGTCTGTGAGGCCCACGTCAGTGTAACAGCCTTCCTACTATATCAAATCAGAGTTTACACCCTCAATGTCAATAGACTCGATCTACTCATTGATCTAAACTCTATAACACAATGGGAATGCAACAAACTCGGTTTATGCATGCATGCCGAGACTGAAACACTTATAAACTTATCTGTGACGATCCCTGGCCTACGCTCCAGTACTTCTCAATTCAACTGTCTGGAACGCACGTTAATCTTCCTTCGATTGCTTGCCTGTAGTGTAGTATTTTGCTCTGTGAAACTTTCTCTCGTTGATTCTCTCTATATTTTTCACACTCTGCATTAGCAGGCCATCCTTTATTTATACTCTTCTAAGGCGAGATCAACCCTAGTAGAGTCCTTGTACAACTCTAACTAAAAAGCATAGTTATCCAATAGTCCTCAATATAATCTCTCTCTAATTTCGCACGTGTTCATACTTCAACGAGAGTTAGAGTTTGTAGTGTATGCCAACTCGTTTGGGAATCTCGTTTCATTAAGTAACGGCTAAGTTCAGAATCCTCCTTTGGCTTGGTAAGAGACAGTCCCAAATCCACTTAGACTATGAGAGTGACGGACAGGATGCTAGAGCTCTATGAACCACACATCTAGGACAAACAATAAATACAGGAAAGTCAAACAAATCCAGCAGCAACAAATTCCAAATAGAAAACCAGAATCCAAAAGCAAATAATAATGGAGCAAAAAATATACTCCAAAAATCCCAGAGGCAGAACAACCTCAACACAAAACAAACTGATAATAGAGTTTGTTGTTACACGACTGCTTCAATTTGAGTCATCCCCCTCACTCCCCCTCAGACTCATCATACTCTTCATCACCATGAGTGCTCCCAGTTGCCTCCTCTCCCCGCTGTTTGTGTGCTCCTCATCTGGAGTTGCTTCCCGTGCCTGACGTAACAGTGTCACAAGATGGCCCTTTTCTGTCTCCAGATTTATTTCTGCTGTGAACACCTGGCTAACTCCACTTTGACCTGCATCAGTTTCTGCTCCAGAAATTTCACCAAGGAGGGTGGCTTTTTGGCCTTTGCAGTGGATGGACAGCAACCTCCATGTCATTATGATGTTTTCCCTCCATGTGCCTGCTGTCCACCTGAAGTGGTGGTTCTTCTGGTTCTTACTCCTCCTCTTCCTCTTTGCTGAATCCCTGAGAGAGCAGAAGACTGCAGAGGAGTGTTGGGTAAGGTAGCCCTATGGAGTTGACCTTGTATTTTTCAGCTGCAAAGAGCATTATCTGGTCAAAGATTAATTTTCCTAGGTCAAAGGGAATATTGTGCTTGATCTTGTATAGGAGTCTGGCCATAATCTTGGAGACAATGTTGGTATGTGTGGTAGGAAGCCAATGAAGGGCAGCAACTCTCAATAAAACAACATAAGAACTTTTGAGAATAGAGGAGTAGACTTTAGCTTTGCTGGACTGAGAGGCTTTCTCACCATTTGTGAGGTCTAGCCACATGTTCTTTTTTGAGATTGGGGTGTCCTTTTTGCAGGGAGTGAGGTTGAGAAGAGTATTGATGAGAGCAGGGATATATTATAGGTTTTGCCGCACAAAAACACTTTATGGAACATGGGGTCAGTAGGATCAACACATGACTCAGAAAGGTTGCAATAGAACTCATAGATAACTGATTTAACAAAGGAACCTTGAAGAGTGACAGATTTCAGCAACTTGGATTGTTCAAGAAGGGGAATCAGGTTGGTCTTAAGTTGAAAGTCTTCCACATCAATTCTCCTTTGAACAATAATAAATTTTTTGTTCACATTACTAAAAAAATGACTTTGCTTTTGAAGAAACAAAGCGAGAGTGAGGAGACTTTCCTGATTTCAGCACTGGAGTAACTTTTGTTTTAGAGCCTGCAGGAGATGAAGGTGGTTGCTACTTCTTCTTGGGTGGTTCCTCTTAATGTGAATCTTCTTCCAGTTTCAATTTCCGCTTGGATCTGCGTTGAGGGACTGAGATGTGGTTCACCTTCTTCTTGCTCTTCTTCACTTCAGATTCTTTGTGGAATGGGACTTCTGAAACGGCAACTAGAGGTTCTTCATCAAGAATTCTGATGAACTCCTCGTCTTCTTGTGCTGGTTCATCTGGTGAGGGCTTTGTTTCTCCGCCATCTCCTTCTTTTCTCCTGTTTCTTGAAGTTTCTTGCGTGCTTGGCAGAATTTCTTGAACCATGAGGGCTGAGTTTTTGAAATGCTTGTTCGATTGAATTTCTGTGGCAGGGCAATCTTGCTGCGCACCATGGTGGCTGGCAGGTTTCTCGCAGAGAGCTAGGGTTTCAGAGAGATACAGAATGAGGATGAGGATGAATGTGGATGAGAAATGGCTGATTGAATCTTATTTTCTTCTTTTGCGATATTTTTAAAAAAATGTGCGCCTCTTCGTGTCTCGAGTACATGCGCCGTCTGAAATTTTGAGAGACGTGCTTCATAATGACGCAGGTATTGAAAAGGCGTGCCACATGATTATCTTTTCCAAGTAGGATTGGAAGTCCCAGCATATGACATGGCGTGTACACTCTGAGATGGCTTTCAAGTGTCCACATGTCAAGCTCACAAGCTTAGAATGGTGCACAAAGACCCAAATTTGACCTGAGCTTCTCAAATCTATTCCCATCCAATGCCTTAGTAAAGATGTCTGCTAGTTGTTCCTCTGTTGGAATATGTTCCAAAATTACCGTCTTATTTTCTACCAGTTCACGTATGAAGTGATGTTTTATGTCAATGTGCTCAGTACGTGAGTGTAAGACAGGATTCTTTGAAATACTAATTGCACTTTTGTTATCGCAGTAAAGTGGTATCGTGCCATGACTGATCCCATAGTCTGCTAGCATTGACTTCATCCATAATAATTGTGCGCAACAGCTACCAGCAGCTATATACTCTGCTTTAGCGAGACACTGAGTTTTGTTTATTGCTCAACCAAGCTACCAGATTCCCACCAAGAAGGAAGCATCCTCCTGAGGTACTTTTTCTATCATCTATGTTTCCAGCCCAATCAACATCACTGTAACCTGTGAGGGAGGTTTGCTGTGCCACCTTTGACGTACCACAACCCTAGATTTTGTGTCCCTTTGACATACTTCAGGATTCTTTTGACTACCTTGAGATGAGATTCTTTTGGATTGGCTTGATATCTGGCACAAACTCCTACACTGTAGCATATATCTAGTCTGCTGGCTGTTAGGTATAGTAGACTTCCTATCATCCCTCTGTACTTGGTAGGATCAACGTTCTTTCCTTGGTCATCTCTGCTGACTTTCTCATGCGTTGGATAGGGTGTTCGAGCACTTTTACAGTCACCCATGTCAAATTTCTTCAGCATATTCCGAGCATACTTTGTCTGAGAGATAAATATTCCTTCTGTTGTTTGTTTGATTTGTAGACCTAGAAAGAATGTTAATTCACCTATCATGCTCATTTTGAACTCTGTTTCCATGAACTTGACAAACTGGTCTACCTGTGTCTTTGACATTGATCCAATCACAATATCATCAACATATATTTGAGCTATTAGGATGTCTGAGTCATACCTTTTGTAGAACATGGTGTTGTCAACACCTCCTCTCTCGTATCCTTCTCTTAATAGATATGTTGCTTGCTTTAGTCCATAAAGAGCCTTCCTTAGCTTGTACACATGTTCAGGATGTTTTTGATCAACAAAACCCTTGGGCTGAGCAACGTAAACTTCCTCTTTAGATAGCCATTTAAGAAGGCTGTTTTCACATCCATTTGATATAGCTTCATGTTGAGTATACATGTTAGGCTGATAAGCATACGTATTGACTCCAGCCGTGCCACTGGTGCAAATGTTTCTTCAAAATCCACTCCTACTTGTGTGTACCCTTGAGCCACCAGTCTTGCCTTGTTTCTTATGACATTTCCTTCCTCACCAGTTTTGTTTCTGTAGATCCACTTTGTGTCTATCACGTTCATTCTGTCTGGTTTTGGTACTAGTTCCCACACTTGATTTCTCTTAAATTGTTCCAGCTCTTCATGCATTGCATTTATCCATGCTTCATCGGTAAGAGCTTCCTTGACATTTCTGGGTTGATGTTGACGTATAGTAGGCCTTGGTCATTTCAAGGAAATTTATGGTCTTCTTTCTGGTCTTGATCCCTTCTGTTGGTGATCCGATGACATTCTCCAGGGGGATGATTTTTCTGAATGTGTGTGGGTACAGTGGATGTCTGCTGGTTGGATTTCTTGTTTTGGTTCAGATGTTGACGTATCGGTTACTGGATCACTGGCGAAGTCATCGTGACCTTTTTTCTCCACACGATCATCAACAATTACATTTGTAGACTCCATGACTGTTTTGGTTCTTTTGTTGTAAACTCGGTAGGCTTTGCTGTTTGGAGAGTACCCAACAAAGATGGCTTCATTGCTTTTGGGATCAAATTTTCCTTTCTGCTCACGGTCTCTTAGCACAAAGCATCTAGCTCCAAAGATATGGAAGTGAGCAATGCTGGGTGTTCTTCCCTTCCAAAGTTCATAGGGTGTTGATTTTGTCCCACTCCCCATGTAGACCCGGTTGATAGTGTAGCAGGATGTATCTTCTGCCCACAGATTTTTGGGCAGTTCGAAGGTATTTATCATTTTTCGCGCCATTTCCTACACATGCCTGTTTTTTCTTTCAGCTAATCTGTTTTGTTGTGGTGTCTTTGGTGCAGAGAACTCATGTCATATCCCCTGTTGATCACAGTATTCTTCAAAGGATTTATTTTCAAACTCACCTCCATGGTCACTTTGTATTCGAATGACTCCTTTTATTTTTAGCTGCTTCTCATTCTAAACTTTGTTGCATAGGGCTGCAAATGCTTCTAGTGGATCATCCTTGTGTACCGTGTAGATACCATAAGCACAAATCATTTTCCTCCTATACTTTCAGTCTTCACAAGTCCGAACAGATCAAGTTGTAGTAATTCAAGTGGCTGCTGGGTTGTCCTGAAGGTTTTCTTTGGATGACTTAAATGGACCTGTTTACCAAGTTGGCATGGTCTGCAAACTTCATCTCTGATTTTTGTGATTTTTGGTAAACCTCTCACAGCTCCTGAATTTGATAAAGTTGTCAAATCTTTGTAGTTGATGTGCCCTAACATGTAATGCCATAGTCTGGCATCCTTCTCACTTGCTGAATAGCACAAGATGTTAGGACACTTCTAGACCTTGATCGCATATCTGACTAATGCTTAGGAGGTTTACTTGCAATCCTTTGACCAGCCAAACATTCTTTATAGGTGGGAGTCCAGTGACATTTAGTGTTCCGCATCCAATGATTTGTCCATGCGCTCCTCCTCCAAATCTTGACGCTGCCTCCCTCTATCTCCTGCATGTTTTTCAGACTTTTATTGTCTCCAGTCATGTGATGTGACTGTCAAGCAGCCATTGCTCTGGTGTGACACGCATGCATGAGTTTGCATGTGATGCCACATGCTTTTGCACCCATATTTGCTTGACTCTTGGACCTGTCTGTCTTCTTAATGTTATTTGCACATTCAGTTTGTATGTGACGGAATCCACCACACTCAAAGCACTGTGGTCCCTTTCTCCTTGTTTCTGAAGGTTGTGTCTTGAATTCTTTCTCCTTCATCACTCTGGATTGAGAGCCTCTCTGTGGATCTTGTATGAACGCTTGTTTCCCTTTTCTTTGTAGCCACCTCTTTATGAACTGCTTGGTGACTAGTGATAGCTGTTCTTGAAAATCATCATCTGATATGACCTCATCTTCTAAGTCAAGATCGCCCACCTGAAATGCTGTTTGCTTTTCAGCCTTTTTCTTCTTCTGTTCCTCTGACATGGCCAACTCAATAGTTTCAAGGTTTCCCATGAGTTGATCCAGTGTCATCCTTTTCAGGTCATGAGCTTGACGTATTGCCTTGGCATCAACTGAATAGCTTTCTGGTAGGGCACGCAGTACCTTTAGAACAAGATTGTCTTCTTCAAAAGATCTTCCAAGTCGTTCTGCTTCATTTGCCAAGTCTCTCACTCTGCCATGAAATTCAGTGACACTTTCCTTGTCTTCCATTCGAAGGTTTTCAAATCTGGTCATGAGGATTTGATATTTGGCTGTCTTGACTCTTTCATCTCCCTCATGAGTTGTCTCAAGAATCTTCCATGCCTTCTTTGCTTCAGTGCAATTAGCAATGAGTCTGTATTGAGAACTATCCACAGCTCCAAACAAGGCATTTAAGGCCTTGTCATTGCATTCAGCAGCTGCTGCTTCTTCTTTTGAATATTCCTCAAATGTCTTGGGAATTTTAACGTCTGATCCTTCAACTGCCTTTGTAGGTGTCTGCCAGCCAGTTCAACGCTTCTCCAGACTCTTCCACCTTGAGATTTAAGAAAAGCCTTCATGCGCCCCTTCGAGAAATTGTAATTTGGTCCCCTTAGCAGTGGCAGTCGTTGAACATTTGCTCCTTCTTCCATATCTCCCATGTTTGATCTTTAAAGCTAGTAACTTCAGCTTTAACGGCTCTGATACCAATTGAAAATTTCATGACCCTCAGTGTACAACCTGTAAAAGTCTAAAGCTATACAGGTTGTGACAAAGGATGTTGTAGCACTGATATAAACTAAGTTATCAGACAGAGTGCTACACCAACCTCACTATCACTTAAGTAAACAATTAAGAACAGAAAGGAACAATACACAACACACAAATTGTTTACGCAGTTCGGAGCAAATTCTCCTACGTCTCTGAGGCCCACGTCAGTGTAACAGCCTTCCTACTATATCAAATCAATGTTTACACCCTCAATGTCAATAGACTCGATCTACTCATTGATCTAAACTCTATAACACAATGGGAATGCAACAAACTCGGTTTATGCATGCATGCCGAGACTGAAACACTTATAAACTTATCTGTGACGGTCCCTGGCCTACGCTCCAGTACTTCTCAATTCAACTGTCTCGAACGCACGTTAATCTCATTCTTCTGCAATCTAGCGATGATCAATCCTTCGATTGCTTGCCTGTAGTATTTTGCTCTATGAGACTTTCTCTCGCTGATTCTCTCTATATTTTTCACACTCTGCATTAGCAGGCCATCCTTTATTTATACTCTTCTACGGCGAGATCAACCCTAGTAGAGTCCTTGTACAACTCTAACTAAAAAGCATAGTTATCCAATAGTCCTCAATATAGTCTCTCTCTAATTTCGCACGTGACCTGATCCTCAAATCCTTAAACAAATCAGTGGAATCATGTCTAAGTGTTACGATCCTTTCTGGAATGAATTCTCCAACCCCAAACCATATTACTTAACCCTGACAACCTTGAGCCTATCTCCATCCTAAAAAGAGCTGTATACCCTGCCCAGACTACCCCACTCCCTACTTGAATCACTCCATCAAAATAACACGTTTTGTGCCAAAAGAAAAAACCATAAGTCAATTTCCTTTTCATTTCCCTAAGCTAGGGCCGAAACACACCAAGCCAAACAACCATATTTCATCACCCAACATCCCACAAACATTGTCCCCCCCTTGTCCCCTAGTACAACCGAAATAACAAGCACAACAAGCCAAGGGATATTTTTGATTACTTTGACCTTTAAACCACCATAAAAGCCACCCTATAAAAGCCATATTTCTCACACCCCACTGTCCCCCACTATGGCAGAATGAATCACTCCCCAACCACCAAATATTCACCTCACTAGCCAAGCCAAAATACCCAACACATCACCCATCCATTTTGCCCTCTAATATGGCCGAAAATCCCCTTCCATTCATGAATATTCATTCATGAATCCCTGTCCCCATTTTCCCTGATTTTATTCCATGAAAGGACTCAAGCACATGACTGCATTTTCTAGGATTTGTGGAAGAAATAGCTTAGTATTTTCCTTTGTATGAGTGCCTTTAAATTTCGGCCATAGGCCTATTGTAATGCTCAGATTTTTATTCTTCATTTCAAGATAGAAATACACTGGTTGTATTCTGTTTTCAAATCCTAATTTCTATATCTTAAGGTTGGTTTCCTTAAGTGTGAGTGTTAGGTTCTAGTTATTTAATTGAGTGTGTAATATCTTAATTAAATTCTAGACTCAAACCCCAAGTGAGGATAAGAGTGTGTTATATCTCTTAAAACCTACTTGGTTTTTATCCCTTTTCCCCTCTTATTTTCCCTTCCAAATTTTCGGCCCTCCTAAAAAGCACAACCAGTATCCCCCTTTTTCTCCCCTATTCTTATGCCTTTAAACCATCTTAAAAATCAACCCTTCATCCTCCTCCATATACTCGACCAGTCCACTCCCCTCCCTTTCCAAACCCAAGCTTAAATATATCATGTTCATACTTCAACGAGAGTTAGAGTTTGTAGTGTATGCCAACTCGTTTGGGAATCTCGTTTCATTAAGTAACGGCCAAGTTCAGAATCCTCCTTTGGCTTGGTAAGAGACAGTCCCAGATCCACTTGGACTATGAGAGTGACGGACACGATGCTACAGCTCTATGAACCACACAGCTAGGACAAACAATAAATACTATAAACTACGACACATGGTTTTTGTCAAAAATAAAGCCAACACCAGAATAAGACTAAGACACAGCAAGGGAACCAACAGGGGTGGCGGGTGGTAGGGAGGCGGTAGGGGGTGGAGTGCGGTGGGAAGGGAAATGGGTATGGGGGTAGGGGATGGGGCAGAGAGAGAATGAAAACTTTCCTTCCACTAATGTTACAAAATTTTCCTAGAAAATATTTTCCACCAACCAAACACACCCTAAAATAAATACTTCTAAGTAAAAAAATTCTATAATCATGTCAAATAAATCATAAAATCGTACAATGATAATTTTTACGAGTTCTTGCAAGATAATCTTTTAATCTACTCATGCTGCCCATTGTAAATTTACTACAACGATGGTATTTCACGTACACATAACCTCTTTTAAATATGGATAATATTTCACGCAAAAATAATGTTATACAGAGTACCTTTCTTTGAACTGAATTTTAAAACATGAGACATATCAGCTAATGCAGGATTTTAAAATTGGAGAGATTTCAACCAATATAGAATTCAAATGCTGGAGAAAATAGGAGAATAACTGGATTTAGCTTTATTTCATAACCAATATTGGAATAATATATTTAAATTTCAACTACAAATATTGATGGAAATTTTAAGTTAAGCAGACTTCAGTGAAATGAAATAAACATCATTGATGAAGATTAGGAGTGTAACAGGAAAGTAAGGAAAGAAAAATTAAAAGTTGAAAGACTGCCTTGGACCAATACACCTCATATATCACTATTGAGGCTTAAGCCTCTGAGGCTTAAATAGACCGCCTCCAATGCCTTTTAAAACCATGTTTATTTGAATTCTATCATTTCCCCTACAATAGATTGTAGAGGGACAGAAGTGAGTTCCATGTTTGGTCTCGCATTCCTAGTAATTCAATTTAATTGGTATTATGTACTTTTTAATTAATTTAAATGGGTAATTTTTTTTAACAATTTTTATAAGTAAAAAAGATGTAATATTTCTATAAAATGAAATATTATTAACAATTTTATTTTTAGTTTTATTGAGCTAAAAAGATACTCTCCCATCTCAAAATAAATGTTTCACTTTCTCTTTTGTTTGTTTCAAAATAATTTCGCATTAAGAAAAGCATTGATTGGTACAAAATACTTCTCTCCTCTGCTTAAACTATTCTTAAACACCGTGAAAAAGAATGATAAGTTTAATTTGTGACGGAGGCAGCATTTATTTTAAAAAACTTACAGTATTAAACTTTGTATAATATTTAAAATAAAGCAAACAAATTTAAGGATAATAAATTTTAGAAGCAAAAGTAATTTCTCAATGCATGTACTTGGCTTTAGTCAAGTACCCCAAAGTTCAATAAATACCATTCATAAGTTGTAAAAGCATGTACCTTGAATTATTTGGCTATAAATTGGAAGGCATACTATGGTACCTTGCTTAGATATGACTCTCTGGGGGATGAAGGGAGTATACTCCCTACGTACGGGAATGGAGTTCCTAGTTTTACTTCACATAGTTTAAGGAAAGTGTTGAAAACTGAAAAGTGGGTGGTTATAATTTTTTTGGAAGAGAGATTATATGAGACACATACATAACCTTGAAAGGAAAAAGGACAAGTGTGAACGTTTTTTTGGGACTTACACTTAGGGAAAGTGTGAATGTTTTTGCGGGATGGACTGAGCGTTAGTCTTGTTGTGAGACTTTTTTTTCTCGTTCTGTATTTCCATCATTTCGATGGAGCCAAAAATTTACTATTTTTTGGCTTTGCGCTATGATGGAATAAAGCAAAATAGCTCTTTAAACTGTCTCCGCTTCTTTTCATAGTCAAGTAGCAGTTAGTCAATGCAACTTTTAACGCTCATCATGGGTCAACGGGAAACAGCCGCCCTATGTTTAAACATAGGGGTCAGGCTGCATACGTGATTACCTTGGTGCTTGAGCCGGGGGTCTCTTTGGAAATAACTTCTCTAGTTTCGAGTTGGGGTAAGGTCTGCATACACAAACCCTCCCCAGACCCTACTTTTGTGGGATTCAACTAGGTTGTTGTTTTTGTTGTTTCTAGCAAGCCTTTGTGGTGACTCATTAAATCTAATAAATAAATTATCCGTGGTTTCACCATTTCAGATATAAGGAGTAACTTTTTCAGTTGATATTCCACCTTTCTCCACCTCTGTTGTCATTTGTCAACAATCAATTGATTTATACTTTTCACGTGTTTTCTTATGGTTTTGAAAACATGTTACTACCTTTTACTTTCTTATTTATGCTTTTCTTTCTTCATTTGCCACTGTATTTTTTTCTAGTTTGTTTACACATTTTCTTCTTACAGATTGAGCCAGTACCAAGTGGGAATCTGCCTCCTGGTTTTGATCCAAGCACATGCCGCAGCGTGTGAGCATTTGGACAATTTCAATTCTTAGTTTAAATAATTTCCTCTCTCTCTCTCTCTCTCGAGTCTTTATGTGTATGCGGCATCTGATATGCAAATCTAAACCAATTTCCTCACAATGTTATGCTCTCAAATTTTATTCACTATATCACCCAACAAAAATTATTTTAACATTGCATTATCTATTCTTTTAATTATGAAGGGTTTATCAATTCTAGTTTTATAAACTTGTGCTATTATTTCTTGATTGCTCAATAATTGCGGCAGAGTCTTATAACTTAATTTTTGTTTTGTTTTGTTTTGTTTTTAAACCTTTCAGTGTCTTTATTTTTGAGATAATGCAGGTATGTTGGGAATATTCACCCGCAGGTAACTGAACCTCTTATGCAGGAAGTCTTTTCTAGTACAGGTCTTATTGAAGGATGTAAGCTTATACGGAAGGAAAAGGTACTTTATTGCAACTTATCTATTTTTGTTGGAATCCTCCCACCCTCATGGTCACACACCCCAAAAAACTCCCAAACTAACAAGCTCTGCCTGATGTAGTCATCCTATGGTTTCATTCATTACTATGACCGTAGATCTGCTGGCCTTGCTATAATGTCTCTGAATGGAAGGAATCTGTAAGTAGGATTCAGGAATCAAATGTTTGGCATGTTTCTTTTATTTTCTTGCTTCATTTTTTGCATTGGTTATGTTCTTTTAATTGCAGGTTTGGCCAGCCTATCAAAGTGAATTGGGCTTATGCCAGTACTCAGAGGGAGGATACTTCTAGTGCGTATTTACCTATCTGTTAGATTATCAATTTATTATGCTCATCGTTGTGAAAAAAATTATTGGGATCATCTTCTCACAGAAAAGTTTTGCATAACTAGATGTTGTTTTACCTCTTGTAGGTCATTTCAATATATTTGTAGGTGATCTCAGCCCTGAAGTTACCGATGCCATGTTATATGCTTGTTTCTCCACATATCATAGTTGCTCGTTAGTGCCTCCTCTTATCCTTTTAATTCATAGCCCCTACTTCTAATCCTTAACTAGGGTCACAGCAGGCCTGAAACATCTGAGAAACTAGAATTATTAAAATTCAATGTTTATTATTACTCCAACCGTCCCAAATTAGCTTTCCACTCCTTTTTGGGCCGTTCCAAATTAAACTCTTCTTTCTTTTTAAGGTAATCATCGGATTGATTTGCATTATTTCTCACTCTCTCTCTCTATGCATAAATCTCGACCACACCATTTTACATTTTGTTAAACTCCGTGAAAAAGCAAATGGAAATTTTAATTTGGGACGAAAGGAGTACAACTTTCATGTTGGATTGCACACAACTACAGTGCATTCAAATTTGCATTCTGCCATCTGGTTTGTAAATTGTGAGATGTAATTTTGTTTCTATATCACATGGGCACACTTTTTTTTGTTGAAAAAAGGCATGCTTATATTGTTTAATTCTGCAAGCTAGGTTTTTTACCTGTAAAATTGTTTTAGTGATGCAAGAATCATGTGGGATCAGAAGACAGGGCGCTCTAGGGGGTTTGGATTTGTGTCATTCCGAAACCAACAGGTGCGCATGAGGGAAATGTCTTTTCTATCTCTCTTTTGGAGCTTTTTTTTCCAAAAACAGTGTAGATTTGTAAATCTTTTTCTTTATTTCTTCCAGGATGCTCAAAGTGCCATTAATGATCTAACTGGTAAGGCAAATGTGAAATGTTTGTTTCATAGCTCTACAATACCCATTTTAACATTGGCATTTAAGTATAATCACTTTTCTAAAAACTCGGCATAGGCAGCGACCTAAGAACCCATTCCCTTAAAAAAGGTTTGGTTGTAAGAAAAAAAAGGTTTGGCGTCAGGTTGCGTGTTCTTATGGTCTGTGTCTACCTTGCCTGCATCTATTTCAGGGAAGTGGCTGGGCAGCAGACAGATAAGATGCAACTGGGCTACTAAAGGTGCTAATGCTAATGATGACAAACAGAGCTCTGACTCAAAAAGTGTTATGGAACTAACAAATGGCTCATCAGGTGCATTATATTCTATAACTACGTCGTAAAAAAAAGAGAATTGCCTCCTCACAGTCCACTCCATGTGGGTAGCACATGTGACATGACTTGCAATTATGAACTTCATATTTTTTTGCAAGATCATTTTCTTGAATTTGGGATTTAAATCCAGTTAATGAAGTTTTGAATCTACAGTAGCTTCAAAAAAATCTACAGCTCCCAATTGATCAATTTAGAAGTGACTAAACTTAGTTTTCCCTTTATTTATTTAACTTGTAGCCTTTATTTTTTATGTGGTTAAACCGATGTTTATTGATTGATCATTGCTTCTGCAGAAGATGGTAAAGAGGCTTCGATTGGTGAAGCTCCCGAGAATAACCCTCAATACACCACTGTGTATGTTGGCAATCTTGCTCCCGAGGTAAGCCTCTCTCTTTTGTTTTAGTAGTTGGAAAATCTCGCGTGCTTCCACTTTTGTTTTAATACTCGTTTTAGCCTCTGTACTCACTAGTAGTCAATTTGGTCCCTGTAAGTTTTGTTTAGTCAAATTAGTCTCTGTAACTTGGAAATGTGAATCAAATTAGTCCTTTATGCAAAATTTATATTCTAAAATAATAAATTAACATGTTAATTGATACAAAAACTAATACATGGGGTCATTGCTCTTGCGTCAATTAATGTGATAACTCCAAATTTTAGGAGATAAATTGTGTTCGAAGGACTAACTAGATTCACATTTTCTATGTATAGGGACTAATTTGACTCAAATGAACTTACAGGGACCAAATTGAGTCATGAGTAAACTTAGAGGGACCAAAATGACTATTAACTCTTTTCCCTATCTAATTTCTTGTATTACATTATCATCTAATCTGTATCCTCTCTTCGGAAACTGGTTTTCATTTGCATACCCATAACCCATCCTGGCCATCCAATTGTCTTAACATTATCATCTGCAGGTGACACAGGTGGAGCTTCATCGCCATTTCCATTCCCTCGGTGCAGGAGTGATTGAGGAAGTTCGTGTGCAACGTGATAAGGGTTTTGGTTTTGTAAAATACAGCACCCATGCTGAGGCTGCTTTGGCTATTCAGATGGGCAACACACAGTCCATTCTTTATGGGAAACCAATCAAGGTCTGTGTGAGCACTTCTGCAAGAAAACGGATGTGCGGCTAACGCGCTAGCTGTGCCGTTGCTTGTTCCCTCACTGAAAACTCTCTAGATATCTGTCTCCATTATCTATCGGAATGAGTTTGACATAGTTACACTTATTTCTCCTGCACTTTTATAGCATGCTATTACAGTGAATAAATATTCCGTTATAAAACTTGACTATGGTCCTTTCATCTTCGTGTAGTGTTCATGGGGTAGCAAGCCTACAGTGCCTGGCACGGCTTCGACCCCTCTTCCGCCACCAGCGCTGGCACCCTTACATGGCGGTCTATCAGCCACCGATCTTATGGCCTACGAGCGGCAGGTAGCAATGAGCAAAATGGGAGGCTTCAACGCACTCATGCACCTCCCTCAGGGTCAGCATGCCCTAAAGCATGCATCAATTGCTATGGGTATGGGTGCTGCCAATGGAGCAAGCCAAGCCATTTATGACTTTCAGAATGTGGCTGCTGCCCAGCAACTCATGTACTATCAGTAGTGAGTGATGTATCGAGAGTCACGGCCCTTTGTGTTTTTTTTATTTAAATTTTGTTTAATGTTATATTTTCTGATTTTAACGAGGTGGTGCGTTATGTGTGCCACGTGTATCACTACATGTTGTGCATTGGTGTATGTTGTGTTTCCCCATTTGTAGTAGTAGTAGTAGTAGCAACAGCAGCAATGAAGGGCACCCATAGTTGAGCTCACTTCTGTTTTTATTGAAATGCGTAATGCTACACAAGTTTTTCTGCTGAGACTTGCTGTGGCAACTATAAGGAGGTGTATAGTTTTCCCTTCCATTTGTGTATTTATTTAAGAATCTTGTTTCCTATTCTTTGGTTTTTTGTCTATTTTTTTCTTCTTCCGGACACAATGAAATAGTCTCTTTGTGATGTACTTATACTAGTACCCTTAAAATCAACAGGTCTATCAGCCACCGATCTTTGTGATTATGATTCTTAAAGTCATTTGTCTTTCTAAGTAATTAACTCGTTCCGAAAATTAGATTTGAGAAGAATTAGCTACCGATTCTAGGCCGAATTTCAAATAAGTATGGAGTACATAACACTAGCTGATTATGGGTATCAAAATCAGCTCTAGAATAGAAACCTAATGTAACAACTTTCTTTTGCTTATCATTCCATTCATTCCATCTCAACTTGTTAATTGCCATTCTTTTGGATGAATGGTAAATATGGCTCTTAAGTAATTGATAGTAAATTAATAATGAGTGATGGGCCGATATCCAGAGGACGGTCCAAATGAACCATTTAAACAACTTCGGGTCAAGCACCTGTGAAATACTCAAGCTGGGCCGGCCCAAGGAGTTGGGCCTAGTTAACCTCAGGCCAAGCGCAGCTGGCAGAGTCAGTCCGGAGAAGGAGACGGAGTTGATTGACCGTTACGGAGCCGGGAAAAGGGGATCGCGTCCTTGGCGGGCTAGACTCCATCGGTTATGCTTCACCTTAATTGTTTAGAGCTCATGTATAAATAGAGGGGACCCGAAAGGGGAGAACTCAAGCTAAATCAAGCTAGTAATACACATCCAATTCTCGAATTCTTGTTCTTAATTTTGTTCTTACGATCCGCTTTGTAAACCGGATCATTTGGTGGGTTTATTGTCCATCAAATTGGTGCTTTCATTGAGAGTTCGAGAATC